CGTTGGTTATCGGCATTCGGCGCTGGTTATCGGCGTTGGTTTTTGGTGTCCGAACCAACCAAGTGGTTTTAAATATTTTATGATTGGTTTTTACTTCTGGACACATCCAAATGGTTCTCCAACAAAAACATGTTAAAAACCACCTTTCGTTTTTGGTCTTTTGGTGAAAACCATGTAGAACGGCATAAACTTGGCTAGCCGTGGTTTTTACCTTAATGAAGTGGTTTTTAAGTTTTTATACTTGGTTTCTACCTAAAATACATTATATAAGAGTTTCCAGCACTTGGTTTTCATTTTGGAGAACTTTGGTTTTTGACATTGGTTTTTGGCGTTGGCTGCCAAACCATGGTTCTGGCAAACCATCCCGACATGCATGTCGGAAATCCCAACAGCGATGTCGGCCTTCAGAAGCCCTGGGCAGTAAGTTTTTGAACAGCGATGTTCATGGTTGAACAGCGATGTTCTCAAATGACCGTTGGGCTATTTAAGACAAAATCTTTCCATTTTTGAAAGTCAAACACCCCAACAGCGATGTAGACTTCTAGACATTGATGTTTTGGTGACCGTTAGCCATTTTTAAAGGAAAGTCAAAGCCAGAACAGCGATGTTCACTATATGAATAGCGCTGTCGGGCTAGATTTCAGCAGATCCACTTTTATTTGATTTCCACAAATCAAGCTAATCAACCCCAATCTTTTCCCAACCGTTGCACCTTGTTTTTGGGTATAAAAAGGGGTCTTTTGGGTCTACTTTTCATATCCATTCCTCACACATTTCATAGCTTTACATTGCATCATTCCATAAACTTTTTACATAGCTTTTTAGAGCCATTTCTTGAGGAATTGAGTGTGTTCTTGATCTAAATTAGTTTACTCATATTCTACTCTTTAATAGAGTTTTTGTTCTTGAGTGGTTAAGTGTTGTGAACACTTTAAGGGAGGTTTGTTCCCTTGGTTGTACGAAGGAAGGGCATATTCCTTCGAGTTGAAGTCTTGGAGTGCGGTATCTCCGAGCAAGTGTATTGAGGCTCGTGGGACTCGAGTTCTCAGGTTGTAACGATTTGTTAAGCACCCGTAAGCTTAACGGAAGTAGTGTAGCTCGAGAGAGTCTCTCGGGAGACTGGACTAGCCACACGTTGTGGTGAACCAGTATAAATCTTGGTGTGCTCTCTTTACGCTTTTTTTCGCTCTTTACTTTTTACGTTCTTTACTTTATCCCTGCGGTTTTTATTCCGCAAAAATTTATAAATATTCTCGTGCCTCACTATTCACCCCCCCTCTAGTGAAGGGCACCTATTCTAACAATTGGTATCAGAGACTAACTCTCTACAAGCCTTAACCGGTTGAGAGAACGATCTATATTTTTTTGTTGAGAATGTCGTATGCAGGATTAAGTGAAGGACACTCCACCGTTAGACCTCCACTCTTCGATGGAACAAACTACACCTGTTGGAAGGAACGAATGAGGATTTACATTCGGTCAATCAACTTCCAACTGTGGTTAATCATCAAAAATGGTGAGACGATGCCAATGAAAAAGGTTGGTGAAACCACCATCCCAAAGAAGGAGGAAGAATATGATGCTGAAGACATCAAGAAGGTAGAAGCTTTTGAAAAAGCTAAACACGTGATTTTTTGTGCAATTAACCCGGATGACTACCGGAAAATTTCTTCTTGCTCCACCGCAAAAGAAATGTGGGATAAGCTTGAAGTGACATACGAAGGTACGCCTCAAGTCCGTGAAGCTAAAATTGATTTTCTAACCCATGAATATGAGTT